AGATTTAAGTGCAGAAACCAATCGTAATAAAAAAATCATTAAACGCACACTAATCTGTTTTATCTGTTGTATCATCACACACATCAATCGATCATTTTAATATATACATCAATTGAAGCGTACGAGGCTGCTTAGGCTAAAAGGTTAAAAATTTAGCGTTCTAGCGCCTCTTGCGTCCGAAATTGTAAAAGGACATTTCCCCCATCCCGCAACTGGGCGACGACGACAATAATGATGATGAGGACGTTTCTTAATCTTAAATTCCCACATTTCAGACTTTGCATTGCAATATCTCCGCTCGTAGGACATGTAGGAAAAAAATAAAAACACTTTCATTACATAAACCGAACCCAAGCTGTCGATTAAGCCTACTTGGAACTTAATCGATTTGACCGTTATTGAGAATCTCATAATCTTGGGTGTCGCAACGCGACGGCTCGCGTGAAGAGACCCAGCATGGCTTAAATAAACACTTGACACCAAGCCACTACCGTGTCTCCTGATTCTAATTCGACGTACATTGAAATGGAACTGGAGAAATCAATACAAAAATGGTTAAAAAGGGCTAAAGAACGATATGATGCTGAAAGAAAAAAGCTTGAAGCGCATGAAAATGATCAATAGTTATATAACGTGATTTTTAAAGAACTTTCACTTATAATTTAAATTCAGAATTAAGAGATATAAAAAAGACTGATTAATTGCTCTTATTTTTGTTTTTATATAAATTATAATATATATACTTATATCTCTTTATATAATATTTGTTAATCATATTAAAAACATTTATGTTCTTTTAAATGTTTTAATATAGATTATAGACACATAAAATTTGAAATATTTAGTGAGATTATGTGCATTATTACATTATAGATATTAGTGTGTAAAGATTATATACTCAATATACATATATACAAATATATATATATATATATATATATATATATATAGGTATAGTTTTTATTTGTCTATAATCTATTTATAAATATGTATTTGCATGTCTTCTAATATATTGCAATAACTCAAAATATTGATTTGATTTTTTATGTTTCATAATAAATTATAATTAATTAATTCTGCATTTTAGATTTGTTATTATTTCTTTTATAGAATTTTTAAGTTTATTCCAGTAGTAATTATGAATAATAGAGCGTTTAAAATTAAGATCTATTTTAGGTCCTTTTTTCGAATGTTCAGAGGATGTCCGAGGTTGTGCATAACGGACGTCCATAAGATTTCCTATTAGACGTTCGTTGGACTATATTTGGATCGACTATGGACGTCTCGATGTCCGAACTTGAACATCCATTAAACGTCCACTAGACGTCCATGTGCTATCTGGGTGTATTACAGTATTAATTTCTTTTTTTTTTAACGTATACATTTATACACATTACTTAAGTTGTAACGCAATTTTCAAAATCTTCAATAACTACCTTCGTTGACGTAATTAGCAAGAAATTTGATCACCTGTACAAAATGTTAATTAATATTATTATATTACAGTATAAATGTGTATGTGTGTGTGTGTGTGTGTGCGTACGCTAGCGCGCGTGTGCGCGCGCGCTTCATTTTATTATAGTGCACCGAAAATCAAAGAATAAAAATATAATGCTAAACGCAAATTCTTCTGATTACTAATATAAATTTAATACTTTCACAAAAATATTAGATAATATTAAAAATGGCGTTGAATGGCCAATCATAAGATTGCAGCCATTTATAATACCTATGATTTTTAATATTATCTAGTACTTTTGTGATACTGCCATAAGTCGGTCGCGCTTCTCTGATAATAATCTAGGACTCTACTTAAACCATGGTCTTAACTACTTCAGGCGCCATCAAATCAAAGACGAATATCATGGAGGTCGAAAAAGATTGGTAAATAAATCA